TATCCATCGTCAGCCGTGAGGGGGGGGTGCTATCATCAGAGGGGGGAGGGGTCCTATCCATCGTCATCAGCAAGAAGAGAGAGGAAAAAAAACGTTGAAAAATTCCCCGGCTTGTTTGTGCTGCTGCTGCTGCTGATTGTTTGAACAGGACGCTTCCGCCACCGCTTTAGATAACAGCAACAGCAGCAGCAGCAGAGGCGACACACCCTCTCGCCCACAATGAGTGTAGAGAGGTGCACAGCACAGCAGTGGTACTACATCGTCTAGGAACGAGCGTGATGTGTTACTGGTCCCGTGCTGTGATGTATGTGTGCCTCTCTCCAGAGCAGAGTCAGAGGCCGCTCCCTCCCGCCGCGTCGCAACACAATAACAACAACCAACCGATGGACCCACAGAGACCCAATCAATATCTCTCCTCTCGCTTCCTCCGCCGAAAGCTAGCAGCAGCAGTAGTATAGGGCACACCCTGCTCCCGTCCCGCTCTCGCTGTGTGGTGTGTGCAACACACGCTGGTTGGTGGGACTCCCTCTCTCTCCAGAGAAAAAAAGGCGAAAATGGCTGGCAGCGTTGAACAACAACAAACAACCAACGGAAACAACAACAACAACATCATCAGCGATGAACCCCAGACCAACCAAACGTTCCCCGCTTCCTCCGCCGTCGCCAACAGCAGTATGTGTGTGTGTCCCGCCCCCCTTGTCCATGTTCCCTGTCTCTGTGTAGTGCGTGTCTTGCCAGTAGCAGCAGCAATGTGTGCAGCACGGCAGTGCGTCGTGGTTTCTTCTTGCTTGCGTGTAGTTTGTTGCCCAGAGAAAAACAAAAATGACGACGCCTCCCGGGGATGCGTCCATGTGACATATATATTTGCACAAACGGTGTGCTATCTCGAGACACCGACCACGGATTGCACAGGTAGCGGTTGGGACAGCTCGGGCAAAATATTACTTGTTGTGCGCAAGTTTTAGTTTGCAATTTGGTGCCGAGATGGTGAAATGGACTCGAGTCTGCTGGATATTTAGGGCGCGCAGACACCCGACAGACAGACAGCCATGGCTAAATTTTCACGCCCCTGTGCATGAAAATTATTCTTTTTCTCGTGCGCACATACTCCACACACGATCCCTCGAAACAGCTTTTTTTTGCAAAACAAAACAAAAAGCGTACCCCTAACGGGCCACACTTTTCACAAAAACAAACTATTAAAATTCAGCACGCACCGCAGGAGGAAGGTGGGGCATGAAAAGAAATAAAAAGACGAAAAAAGCCCTGGTGTTTACCCCCTCCTGTGTGACCCTGGATGGTTGTAGTTGTACGAAAAAATACACTGAAAACTGTAGTACTCTACATGCGCTGATAAGTGTAGTACACGTCTCACCACGAAAAATGGGGGGACTGTCGCCATAATAAATAGGACGAAAACACACACACAATACCCTCTGACGGACCTGCTACTGCTGTTCCTCTCCGCGTTATCCCGCTCGCTCGCTGCAAAGACTTAACTGACCGTGCCGAATTAACGCAATACAATACCGTCTCCACTTACTACCCTTGGCGGATACCTACTGTGCAACCTCCGTTTTGTGTTTATTCTGCTCGCTTGCTGCACTCAACTGATTGCCGACTACCAATACCCGTCACGTTCCAGCGCGACGATGGCTGGCAAGGCATGGCCGGAGAAGAGCAGGCCCTGCTCTACACGCTGGAAGAGATTTCGGGTAGCGACTACTGCCTGCGCGAGGACTCTCAGGGAAGTTCTCAGGTGGGTGCCGAAAAACTTTTGAATGGTCACGATGCCATTATTTTGTCGGGAGTAGTGTTGGATATCGATAAAGTAATCGATTCGATACGATATCGATAGTGAGAGCGAAGCGACCCGTTAGAGGCGAGAGCAGCGAGCCGGCGAGCACAGCGAGCTGACGCGCGAATGCGCGTCAGGTCGATGTGCAAGCAAGTCCCAACGCCCCCCCCCCGGCTGGTGAGGGGGGCCCGCTGGAGGCGCCGCCGGAGGCCAACAAATTTGAGCAATTTCCCTTCATTTCCCATCACAATTTTCGAAAAATAGGCCTCCGAAGCCGGCAGTGTACAGCCACCTAATTTGAATAATAAAGCGTGTGGGTGAAGTAGCAACAAGGGTGAACGCATGAAGCAGAAAAATGGAGTACAAGTGTTTCATGGTGGCGTCGTTTTACCCATCTCACACCACAAAAGATCGCGAATTAGTCGTTGGAAGCCAAGTTCTCACAGTGAGAGACCATGACAACGAACGGTTAGTAGCGGCAGCTGCAACCTGCCGCTGCTTTGCTTCCCGCCACTGGCTAAATAAGTGTACACATTTCGTGCCCTCTATTTAGTGCAGATTTAGTGACCTCCTTCACTGCCTTCAATGCTACCAAACCACGACTCACGAAGAAACACGAAAAAAGTGGAAGCAAGCCAGACACCCGACGCCCAACAAGCCATTCGCACTGCGACACCACCACCCAACAGTAGGTGCGGGTCTGGAGAAGACACCCGTGGCGACTTGTAGTGGGCTTCCAGGTTCGAGGTGTTGCCTGCCGTGACGGTAAACCAGTTGATGGCAAACGCTGCTACACACAGCCCGATCCTTTGGGTCTACCAGAAACAGACGGTCCTTCCAGAGAAAAGGATCGTCCTTTTGCGTCGGGCTTAGGCCTGCAGGTGTTGAGGTCGACCACATCCACCACTTGCACATCATCAGCGCCTGCGGCAGCCGCAGCCGCCTCCGCGGACAAGGCACTCATGCACCCACTCGCAGGATTGCACCCTTCTGCTTCGAATGCTGTGTGCTACGTGATGTGTGTTGAGTTGTTCGCTGTAGCTCTGCAGCTGTGCGCTGGTGTGTGTTGCTGCTGCTGTGGGGGTTCCGTGGAGTATTTATCGAATTATCGTATCGATATCGAATTATCCAAATATCGAAAGAACCAACTTTTTTCGATAACCGATATCGATACGATAATTCGATACGATATATCGAAAAAATCGATACGATATCCAACACTAGTCGGGAGTCTCTTCAGGAGGTTCTACAATACGGTGCAGAAGATACGATTGAATGATCACGATGCTGTTTTGTCGGGACTGAGCAAGCGGCGGCGTCGAGCGTTAGTTCTTTTGAGGATGTCACGCGATGGACGACACATGGAAATATGTCCCGGTCTCCCTCCCCTTCCAATTTGCTGCGCGCTGCTTTGTGCCGTGTGGGTTGAGTTCCACTACCGTTTGTTATGATGTGGATTGACACATCAACGCCTACCCTCTACTCGGAGAGATCGTCTTTGGCCATCATTATGTCAGCTACACGATAAGTCAATTGGAACGCACGCTACAGGTAACGGGCTGGCCAAACGTGTCGCCCGTTTTTGTTAGCCTGCCGCTCGAGATGCTCGTTTGTTGGGTCCAAAAGTGTTGAGCGTTTTTTTCACCGTCGTTGCTCGTTTATTTTTTTTTTCCCAGATGGTGGTCGCGCCGACCACTTCGAGTGCCGCAGACAAGCCGCCCGCCGCGCAAGATTCTGCCGCCGCCGGCAACGGGAAAGAGGGTGACGCCGGAAATGCTGGCGGCAAGAAGGGCAGGAAGCGCAAGGCCTCCTCCGCTCTAGCAGCGGCGAGCGAGGGCGGCAGCAGCGGCAGCAGCAGCGGCAGCAGCACGGACGGCGGGACGGCTTCTTCTTGGCCGAACGAAGGCGCCAAACGAGCGGAAGTAGATGCCGGCGGTGACGACGGCAATGCAGCCATCGAGGGAGGGGGAGCGGAGAAGACAACGGGGGACGGTGACGGTGACGGTGAACGTGACGCCTCCAATAAAGGGCCGAAGAAGAAAAAGCGGAGGGGCCAGGGGAAGAAGAAGAGGGCCGCGGAAGCTCGCGCGGCTGCTGCTGCTGCTGCTGCTGCTGTAGCGGCGGCGGGTTCAGCATCATCCCTGGGGGATGCCGGCGGCAGCACCACCGCAGCCGCGGTAGACGATGCTGGTGGTCCTGGCGCCCCTCCGCCGCCGGCTAGCTTGACGGCGGTGGGGCAAAAGCAGCAGCAGCAGCAAAAGCAGCACCAACATGCCGGAGAGCAGACGGCCGAAGCCGCTGCCGCTGTCTCTGAGAAGGGAAAGACGCAGCCAGAAACGACGACCAAGAAGAAGAAAAAAAGAAAAAAGAAAAAGAAAGCACGAGGAGAGGACGAGGACGGGAAGGAGGCCGCCGAGGTAGAGCAAAAGAAGAGCGAGCGGGACTGGGAGCTTGGGGCCGAGGAGGCGGCGAAGATGGCGCCCTGGATGTACCTTGGGGTGGAGCTTCACCCCGCCCTGTTGTGGCATCTTCATCGACAGGTGGGTGATGTTCGATGTTCGATGTTCGATGTTCGATGTTCGATGTTCGATCTGTTGCTTGTTGTTGTGGTGTTTGCATGAACAACCCTTTTCTGTCTCGAAAACGCTGTTGACTGTGGTGTTGGTCGCTTCCTCATGTTGTTGTTGCCGTTGCCTCAAGCACTCACTCCCAGGCGCTCGCTCCCTGATGAGTCTAGCTCCTTCCGCGCTTTTCCATCCCCTCGCCATGCAGCTCGGCGCCCCCCTCCCTCCCTCCCCTTTCCTACAAAGCAACGCAGGGAGGAGATGCACGACGAGATGTCGTTGTACGTACGGACGATCGTAGAGGTGTCAAGACCAGAGTAGCCCATATGGTTGCATTGTTTTCTCTCCCACGCGACGCATGGTCAAGAAATGATCAACTCGTACCTACGCTGAGAACAAACTAATCCCGTAGGAGAAACGGTTGGACATCGGTGATCGGTCCTGTGGGAACAGCGCTCCGTCCTCTCGAGGACGGACGCATGGTCGATGGTCGCACCGCGTGAAGGCATGCAAAACATGAGCACTCCTCCCCTGTCCCCCTGGTCCCCTTGGAACCTCTTCTGACCTATTTAGGGCTTCCATGACCCCACCCCCATCCAAAGACGAGTGCTGCCCAAGGCGGTGTTGGGGCGCAAGGACATTATCGGGGCGGCGGAGACAGGGTCCGGAAAGACGTTGGCCTTCGGACTCCCCGTCCTCAGCGAGATACTCACGCGGCGGGACGCCGCCGCCGCAGCCGCTACCGCCGCTGCTGCCAAGTCGGATGAGGGGGGGGAGGCTGACCAGAGGGAAGGGGAAGAGAAGGAGAGGGAGGGTCTGCACGAAGGGCTGCAGGCGTTGGTGCTGTGCCCCACGAGGGAGCTGGCGCTTCAGGTGGCGGCGCACCTGAGGGAGGTCGTGCGGGACACGGGCGTCGCGGTGGTGGTGAGGGGCTGTGCTGCTGCTTTCCATGTTGCGGTCGATGAATGTTGGAGTTGTTCCCCAGTGTTGATGCACACGGTGTTTTTTTTTTTTTTTTTTTGGGNCCCGCGCTCTCTGTTGGTGCTGCGATCCGCTTTCGTCGCGCTCATTTTTTCTGGGTGTTTTTGACAGCGGTTCTCCTGGTGTAGCTGGTGCAGCTGCAGTCGCTTCCTGCCCTCCCCCCTGGGGTGGCGTAGGGAAATAACGCTGATGTGTACGTGACGGTTGGCGTGCGTCTTGTATTTCGCGAGGCGCGTTGACACAGCAGCGTTTTCGTTCCTTACCCCCTCCTGCGCGCACATCGAAACCACCCGTCGGTGGCGAACTCGTTGAGGTAGATAAAGCATCGTGAATATGCCATCATGGTGCGCAACACTTTTTGGAGTAGCGGTTTGCGTTCTTGTTCGTCTTCTACATGGCATGTGATCACGTCATCCGACATGTAAAGAATGCGATGCACACGCTACCGCTATCCCCCCCCCCCCCCC